CTCCCATTTTTTTTCTTCTTATAAAATTTATTTCTTTTCAATTTTTAATTCCCTTTATTCAGTAAACAATTACATGTAAAAGCTCTTTGCTCTGCTCTATGATGGAGCTTAATGTAATTTTTATTGCCTCAGATTTTATGGATTGATGGAGAATTTTTTTAATATTTTATTATTATATATGTGTGGACATTGTTGTTGCTGCAATTGCTCTGTCATGAATAACTTTTGTTTGCCTTTGGGTTCTTGCTTCTGGTTGTGCTATAAAACTCAGAATTGAGACAAAAAAAGGAACAATTTTTTAATGCTTCAGACTCAATTTAAAGTGATTTTATTGTTCCTTTGTTTTGAATGGATGGGAAATTAATTAAATTATGGCAAATGGGGTTGAGTTTGAAGAAATTATAGGAACGGAAGTTTGGGGTGTTCTTGGAGACAATTTTAAAGATTTAATGGATTTGAGATGTTCATTTATGACAATGTGGTCCTTTAATTCTTATCAACCAATTCAATTCAATGAATCACAGCCTGGCAACAATCCATATCTACCCTCATTTATTTAAAAATTAAGTTGTCATGCACAACAAATGTACAACCAATGTAAATATTCATTTACACTGTGTTTTTATTATTAATTATAATTATTATTATTATTATTATTATTTGTTTATTCAGATTCTTTAGATTGCAAAGGAAAAGCCATTCTAAACAGTTTTAACAGTAACTGTTGAAATCGGCATAAAAACCTTTGGTCTTAGAAATAAATTAACAAAAGAATTGTAAATATGAGATTCAGCGTTCAAAGAAGAACATTAAAGATCTCAAATTTGTAAAAATATTAACATTATTGACATACAATGGGATTTAACGGTTTTTTCAGTATTTAAAATTACAAATGGTGAAATTGGTAACTAAAAAGTTTTGCAAAAATAAGCCAAGCTAGTGTTTACATTAAAATAATTTGAAAAAAAAAAAAATAACTGACTTTGGTGCAAAAAATCCAATAGTTAAGCATTTGGACATTGAAGAAGATACGAAGAAACTTTGAGAACCATTGAGGGAACCAGCATACAACATGATACTAGGTGAATTGTTCCAATGAAGCATATATGAAGAAGTAGATATTGTTAATTTGTTTTTTTATGTTTTAGGTCAACTTTCAAGCTTCTTCAGGAAATTGGCAGATAGAAAGACTGACATCATATCTTCATTACGGATGTAGCATTTTAGGGCCCATTTAAAAGCATGCATTTGTGGTAAGTTTTTTAAATCTTTTGGAATTTCATTAAAAATTGAGACACCAAATGACGTAATTCTTTTCTTTCCATAGTTTGATTTTGATAGCGGCTTTCTTAATCCACCAGTACTTCTCGTTCTGTTACTAGCTGCAACTTTATCCAAAACTATGTTTGAGTGGATTTTTTTGGACAGGTTGCTGTAGATGAATGTTGCAGCATTGACATAACTAATTGCTCGAACTGGAAGACAATTCTGGACCAGGTGAGTGTACATATTTATCCTGTTCTCAAGAAAGTTGATGTTAAACACACTTCTAAGCGCCCTGTTCTGAATTTTCTGAATAGGATTCAATACTTTTTCGCATGCAGTGCCATAGATTGTTGACATATAGTTGAGATGTGATTCAAAGAGTGATTTGTAAATTAGTTTTTTGGTAGATTGCGGTAACTTGCTTTTGAGCTTCCATAATATTCCTGAAATTGAGGCAAGTTTTGATTCAAGAGCTTGACAGTGCCTATCCCATTTTAGATGTTGATCCATAAATAAGCCTAGATATTTCACACAGTCCACTCTCTTGATAACGTTGATACCTATGCTGATTGTGTCATTATCATGGATTTTCATGTATGGTGAGTGAAAGATTGTGTAGATCGTCTTTTCAAAGTTCAAATATAGATGCTGTTCATTGAAAAAATTCAGGATTACGTTCATATCATGGGTAATTTTGTCGTCTACCTTTTCATTCTTTTCGTGACTGTTAACTAGCACTGCATCGTCTGCATACAGATATAACTTTCCAGTAATGTTTAAAGATGTAATATGATTGAAGAAAATAATGAACAGAAGGCTTCCCAAAATTCCACCTTGAACTACTCCGTAATCTATACATTTTTCATCACTTGTTGCTGAATTTATTTTTACAATTTGCTTTCTTGATCTTAGGTAGCTTTCAATGAGTTTAAGAGGATTTCCACGAATACCAGAGAGTTCAAGCGTGTGAATAAGACAGTCTATATCTACCAGATCAAAGGCTTTCTTAATATCCATACACACAGCACTGACTTTCATTTTATTGTCTAGTTTACTTTTGATTTGTTCTACGAGTTCTAATGCAGCAGTTTCAGTTCCACTTTTAGCTCTAAATCCAAATTGATACGGTGACATTATCTTTGCTTTATTAAATACAAAGTCATATATTCTTGTGTAAAGTGACTTCTCAACAATTTTGTTAAAAATTGTAAGCATAGAGACTGGGCGATAGTCGTTCATTGATGATTTATTACCAGACTTATTAATTGGAATCACTAATGCTGTTTTGGATCTGAAGTGTCTGAGGAGTCTAAATATTAAATATTGAATTTTGAATGGGTTAAAAATTGGAATTATTTCAAATTTCAAAACTGATGATTTAAAAATGTATGACCCTATCCTCTCTGGTTAAGTCTCTGGTATAGAATCAGACAAACCAAGTAAAAATTTCAAGAAAATCTTCATTGCAAATTTTAATCAAAAATCGATCGATTTTGATTCAGAGGAAGGAATTATTTCTTAAAAGGATCAATTATTTTACAATCCTACATTCTGGATTCCAGATAACATGACTCCAAGGCAATTATATTTTTAAATTATTTCATTAAAATATGATCCATTTGTGGCAATTGAAGTTGTACAGCATGCAGCATTCGAAATCAGTTGCAGTAAACGAATCAATTAGTGCTTTATTAATTTTAAAGAATCCAATAAAATGTTGAAATAAAGGAAAAATAATTGCAAAAAAGTACAAATTAAAACGCAATTAAATTGACTTTTTATTCAGAAGCATGCTAGTTCCGAGCGACACTAAAGCATGCAGATAAGCAGTGTACTTCGTCAAGCTTCAAAATAGAGTCTTGTGTTGCCCGGAATGCGTTATAAAATAAGAATAAAATTGGAAAGCTCTATAAATGTAACAGAAATAGGTCAAAAAATGACGTTGTTTAATAATTCCTGCTATTTTCAATAACATTCGTTGATGTAACGTTGCATATGAGCGAGGCAAGCATGAGTGGAGCTAGCAAGGGATTCGGAGGTTTAATTTTTTACAAGAAAATATATTTTAGATCCTCTTTAGGTTCGAATTGATGATAAAGGATTCATTGTCATTGTTTCCTCTAAAAACTGAGTTTCCAACAGTGTTCTGACAACATCCTTTACAAAAGCTTCAATATTATTCGTTGTGTAAAGCATTGATAGAGTAGCTTTATATTTAATTCTGTGAAATATATCACAAACATATCGTTTACATGGATCCATAATTTCTCGGAACATAAAGTTGTATTTAACTACGAAACTAGGTTGGGGGTCAATCATAAATGATGTCATAGGGAGGGGGGATTTTGAAAAAGGCTCAAAATACCACAATTATAAAAAATTTTGATTGATTATTTTTAAAAATTACTTTCGTTATTTGTGGACGTCATTTACGAACAACCCCCCTTTTAATAATATGAAAAAGCTTTCATAATGATGGAAACTTTACTCAAAACTTTTATCCTATTCAGGATATATTCATATTAAAAGTTATCGAGTAAATATTACAGAAAAATATTTGATGTTTTTAATTTTTTAATTAATTAAAATGAAGCAAAAATTGTCGCTCGAAGTTACATTCAGATTTTTTCAGGCAGACGAAAATAATTTTATATTGTGTATGCTCACATAATAATGTCTACCGTTACAGAAAAAAACTTTTCAGTGCATAGTCAAAATTTTAATTTGTTCGCTAAAGTTTATTTTCCTGTTTGAAGTTTGATTTTTGAGGGGTTTGATAGCTTTTCGGGCTGGTTTGTCCTGGTTTTAGATAGGGACTAAACTAGGAATCATCCCGAATAGTACAGTTTGGTTAATCGAATAGAAATCCTGCACCAAGAAGGCATAACTCAAATTGAATTCAGCACCATGCCAGAGTCACTCCGGCTTGGTAGCAGATTTCTATTCGATAAAACTACTCGCGCTTTTCTGGTAATTTTACAAAATTAGCAAACTATTAAAATGATTTTACACTAGTAAAGTTAATTCTGAAAAGCAAAAAGAAAAAAATAAAAAAATTCACAAAAATTTTCCAAAAAGTCGCCCTATTTCCACAATTTTTTTTCCTGACTTCTTTCTATTTGTGTAAAAAAATATAATTTTTTTAAAAATAAAAAAAACTTTTCAAACAGCAAAAATATTTGCCATATCATAAATTCATTTACTTTCATCCTACCTACTGCAAATAAAAATATGGAAAACTTTTTTTCCCTCTCTTTGACTATATTTGAGCTATACATGAAAATTTTAAATTAGCTATAATTAAATTCTATTCCAGCCATAACATAGAAATGAGTCAGCATAAGAGGGTTAATGTAACAAGCGGGTGAGAATGTAAAGGAATAAATTTTACTCTTTTTGTGTGTGCGCGTGTTTCATTTTCAGGTTTGTTGCAGTTTTTCTTAAATAGATTTTTAGAGTTTCTTATTGGATTTTTTGAGTCTTATTGGAAATGGAATTGCTTATAAGAATTAAAATTTTCGTACAAAAATTTTAAAATTCATAAAATTTTAAAAAAATATTAAAAACTTTCATCATCCCTTAAAAATTTTCATCTTGCAACATAATCGACCATAATAAAAGTCAGTAGGGGCAATCAACTATCTCTGCATCATTTTCCATAATATTCCATTCGCATCAGCCGTGCGCTCTCACACAGTACAGCAAAGAAATTTCTTCATTCGATGGAAAACATTCAATCCGATAAGTTCAATTCTATTCGGCGTGTGTGAATCTAATTGATAAATAAAAATTGATTTTTTCTGGATTAATTGTGCAAAATTTGTGATTGAAAAACAATCAATTATTCATTTGTGACTAGCATTGTGCTGAATTTGACAAGAAAATCATTTGAAAAGTCACAGAAAGTTGTGAAAAAATTAGTGAAAACTCGAAAAATTTTCCGCATTGGAATTCTCAATTTTTTTGTAGTCGAAAATAAAGTCAGAAGTAGTGGAAAGTAAAAGAATAATTTAAAAAATAAAAATTAATTTGGATCTTTTCTTGTGGAATAAAGTCGATCAAAATGACACCCTCAAATTTGGTGTCAATTTTCGTCCTCACTGTATTAGGATACTCATCATACGTGCAGGTATTTATGAAATTTTATACACTACGACAGAATATAAAAGAGAAAAAAAAACATGGAATCAGAAAAAAATTCCAATAAGGATATTTTCTGTCCTTGTCTGGCTCCTTTGCTTCTGCATAGAACTTGCGAATAAAAAGAAATATGAGAGCCCGATGACTCACCTTTTTTTGTATAACAAATGAAAAATACATTATGCATGAAGAACTACCGAGGACATGAAAAATATAAAAAGAAAAATAATCGATAAGAGTTGTACGTAAATGTAAATAAATTATAATTAACTTTACTAAGTCTTGTGTGTGTATGGAAGTCATCTGGAAATTAAGTATCTCATTAAAAAATTGTGCGAGCGAGAAGAAATGAAAAACAGAACCGATACTAATACCATTTTGAGAATTATTCTTACTTCCCCCCACAAAATCCACACTCATCCGCAAAGTGAAGAATTTTTTATTTTTTTTTCTAATACAATTGAATTGCTTTGCTTCGCACAAGCGAAACGAAAAATCGATTTCTTATAAGAATGATTTTTTTCTCTTTTCTTTTTCGTTCCTTTTTGTTCTTCTACGAGTTATTATTTTTTTTTGAAAATGATTGTGAAAAATATGAAGGATGTTGGTGTTGGGAAATTTCTTTCTTTTTTATTGTAAACATGATCGCGGTGCTCTTTTTTGCTTAAATAAATGAATATTAATGAATGAGTTTTGTAATAATTTGTTGAATGTTATTTTAATTTATGAAAAACGGGGGGACTTTTAGGTATGTTTAATTAGCTTAATATTGAGACATGATTTTTTAAATTTTTAAGTTTTCAAAAAAGTTTTGAAAGTTTTGAATCATTTTTCAAAAAGTTCTGAAATGACATGATCCTGCTCACTAGAAAATTACTTTAAAAATTGCAAAATTTCTCACAAATTAAATTCAAAAACTTGCTTAAAATTGTAAAAATAATAAACTCAATCATTTAATTTTAGCATTACTAACCACTCAATTGTGTTATTTAAGTTTTATTACCTAAGTAAAATATAGACGCAGTGTCATCTAATTACGAAAAGTTCTGAAATCTTCAAAATAAATTATCATTAGTTTACCCTACGTATAGAAATCTAGTCTAGTGGTCTTTTCGGGTTATATTTTAAAAAAATTGCAACTTAAAATTGACAAATATTACCTTAAATATCCAAGAAGAACCTAAAACAATCCAAAATCAATTTTTCAATAACTTTCATTAAAGTGAACAAATTTCCTATACTTTTAAGCTTCTTATCTTTGCTGTTGAGTTTATTTGCAGTTTTTTTAAATCAAGGCCCAAAATTTCATTAAAGGTTGAAAAAAGCCACAAACGCATTGCTAGTCTCTTCATTCTAAGCCAAATCTTTAAATTCATTCTGAGAATCAAAAATTTAATATCTATTAAGGCTTAGAAATAAGTTAAAAAATGTCCAAGTCTTCAACTTAATTTTAAACCTGCTCAGTATTAGATACAAATTTAATTGCATCCTATATTCAGCTTTGCCATTTAATTGGCAATATTAAAAAAATTTCAAAACGAAGCATTTACTCGTAATTGCCATATTAAATTATATAAAAGGGTTTAAAAGGATTTGATTGAGTTACAACTCAGCTCACTTATACATAACTGATTGGATTGTTAAATTGTATTCGATTTTATAAAGATTTTATTTAAATGACGTAGCATGAAAAAAGCTCAATTATAATTATTACATTAATTTCCAAGAATTTTTAATAATTCTAGTTTTTCTAGAAAACTCGGTTTTTATTATTTTTGAGAATTGAACTAAAATATTTCGTTTAAATTCCCAAAATTATAGTTTCTTGAATTTAATTTCAATAAACAAAGAACTTTCCATTCATTCAAGGACATAATGACTACAATCCCTTACTTAGCTACTAAATTATTAACAGTATGTGACTCCAAAGCCCCCAACAGTCCTCAAAAAGCAAAAATAGTAATTATATTGGGAAAAAACCTAATTCAATCCAAAAATTGCGCAGCAGGAATAAAGCATGACTGACATGTTTGCATGTGAATGTGAACGACAATAGCTACAGCACTCAAAAAATTTGTTCCTTTAACATTCTCGAGAGTGTCATGAAAAGAAACAGGAAAAAATTATAATTGTGACCTCGCGCATGATACCCGCTTGAATAATTCATCAGGCTACTAATTTCCTTTCTCATGCTTTATGCCGCCACAAATTTTCATATCTTTTCTGTCTTGAATCGATGCAATAATTTTTTTTGTGCAGCATTATTATTATTATTTTCCATGCTTGTTGATTTATAGCCTTTTTGTCTATATTATCCGCATAGCAGCATTTATAGAGTCGGAGGAGGTAACTAAAAGGTCAAAAATATCTCAATTAAATTTTTTGCTGTTTGTGTTCTCTTCAAAAACTGATAAACTTTATTTTTTTCACATTGAAATTTTGTGGATGTGCGGCTTTTTAATTAAAATGTCAGGATATAAGAGAAGGGAAAATTTTCAATGATTTATTTTATTTTATGGAAATGCGAAGAATCAGGTTGGAAAGTCAGTAGTTATATTTATTTGGGGGGAATTGATAAAGAATGAATTGGGTATTTTAAAATCGATTTTTTGAAATTTATAGCGATTTAAGATTATTTTTTTGAGGTAGGAAATTTTATGTTTTTTTTAAATTGACTTTTGTATTTTTATTCAATTTTATATTTATTTTTAAATTTTTTTTTACTTTATTTTAATTTCACAATTTTTGTGACATAATTATCAACATTTTTCAAAGTTCAAACAATATCTAAGAAATAAATAATAAAAAAAAAATTTAAAAAAAATTTAAAATTCGTGAAAAAAATTGTTCAAAAGATTTAAATTTCAAAAAATAACATTTCATTCGATTTGAAATTATTTCAATCTGACAACACCCTTCCAAAATTTACATTGAAATTTAAATATTTATCGCATATTTCATGCCATTATTTTAATTTTTAAGCCTCAATAATGGACACATAAGCTGTCATAATTCTTCCAAAAATGTATCAACATCATAAGCTTTATGCACATTGACACAAAAAAAAATCTGCGATACCCAATAACTAGATTACAACCTATAGAAACGCATCAATCCATCTACACGCATCCCTGTTCCACATACACAGAGAATCATGTCCAAAAATACACTTTTATGACAAATTCATGGAACTGTTTCATGACACAAAAAAGAAAGAGGATAAAATGGTGCTTAAGCTACCTTTGTATTTTGTCAAAGTCCTCTAGGCATACTTTACGGTACTTTGTTAAAATGTTGCTATGAGATTAATTCAATTCTCATGACGATAATGTGATTCTCGTGATCAGAAGCTTTCATTGTAAGTGGGATTAAAGGACGAAAAATGATTTTTTTTGCGACTGGGATTTTGAATGAAAATTGAGCGTTTCGTAAAAAATTGAGATTTTAAACCTGACAAATGTTAAAATTTGTCCATAAAAAATTAATTTTATTGACTAGTGACATTAGGAGTCCTATGAAAGGCTAGCAATCCCTTAAAAGTAAAGCCATTTTTTAATTCACATCCACTTACTACATGCTATAAGCATGAACAACTCTAAACAACAAAATAATCAAGAATTCCAAGATTTTTCACAAAATTCTTTCATATTATTCCACAAAATTCATAAATATTTTATTAAAAAGTCTACATAATAATCATCTGACCCAAAATAACATTTCAATTAAGTGGCTTGCATCTAATTAGAGAGGAGAGAAATATTCTCTGCTTTTCTATAATAAGCCGTTCTATTTATAGCTTGAAAAATCTTTTTGAAAAGGTCAAGATTAATAATTAATAGCTCTCGAGTTTTGAGGAAGATGATGAATAGTTGAGAAGATGTGAGTTTTATGAGGTAAATTAAGTGGAAACTTCATTGATGATGTGGATGGAGTTGAATGGATTGTTTTTTTAAATTGAATAGTTTTTGGGGATTTTGGAGATTTTGAGTATTTAAACAATATTTTTAAAGAGATGACTTTTTTCTTGGGGGTAGCCATATGTAGGCTAAACTGCCAGTACGAGAATAAGGTTAATATGGACAAGCAATTAGAGAGCAGATCAGATATATGAAAATGTCTTTTCTGTGAGTTCGCGAATTCGATTCCTACTAGACACCAATCTATTCCAATTTTACTATAAAGTGATGTCAATATGAGTAGGACTAGGATAGTCTATTGGCTAACACTTACCTACCAATCATAGATGTAGAAATAGTGACACACAACCACATCGTCATATCCAATAAAGCATTAAATTATCACATCTTAATTCTAACCTCCAATAACCAAAAATGTCAACTTATCTTCCAATAAAACACGAAAGAATATTCATTACCATGATTAAAGTGCCTTATCTTCATCAATTTGACATCAATAAAGGACATTAAACAAATTGCTGTGACATCCACAAAGTGCAATGTCAACTTCTTATATCCAAAAAAGATTTTTCCACAAAAGACTTTCAATCAAAAAAGCCCTAATTCCATATGACAAGTTTCAACGTTCAACAAAACAACCTCTGACCTTTCAAATCTTATTTCTCAGCTTAACTATCTTATGCCATATACCAAAAAATCACAATACCACATAGCATAAAACTTTGAGACACAAGATTGAAAAAGGAAAAACTGGAAAATTGTTTTCTGAACTTTTGCATACGTACACAAAAAGTAAGAACAAGATTTTCCTTGGAAAAATGTTCTTGAAATTTGAATATTTATAGCCAGAGTCTGTAAGCAATAGACACACAAAAGCTCGAGAGTCGTTACGAAAGGTATTAAAAGAGATTTCTTTTTATTATAAAACACAATGAAGAATTTATTAAAGCTTCTTTTTTGTGAGTATTTTAATTCTGTATTGAGGATATTAGAGACGTCTTCATGATATTTGGACATCCTTTTGTGAATGGCAAGTAGGAAGTTTGGGTAATAATTTTAATGGATTTTCTTC